ACTGACCATTGAATATATTGTGTGTGAGACGAAAAATGCCCAACTCAAATATCAATACAGACAACAACGTAGACTATCGAACAACACAACTATTTGGAGACTCCTCTTGATTGATTGGCAGACACGGTATGAGTGCAGATTCCCCTCTGCAACATATTAGTATAGATAGGAGGTAATGTTTTTTCACATAATACATGCTGAATCACTCACCGTCGGCGTCGTTGTGCGAGGCAAATTGAGCTAAACATCGTTATTATTTTGTTTCGACCCCATTAAGTAAGTCTTCTACAAGCTTACCCCCCCCATTGTTGTTCGATCCTTGACCAGTCAGTATTATATCACAAGTGCAACGGTATAGACACGCGTAGCAATCCCTCAAGACCCTGGTGAAGACTCAAACCGGGAGTGGCATCTCCCGCACTTTCCTCTGGGCATCAGCCCGCACTACTACCGTTGATACTTTCCTACACGTTCAAATCCCATAACACAAGGAGGGCACGCAGCCACATGGATAAATGGATGTGGTGCAATATTGTTCCTCGTTTTTTTTTACGATACGTAAGGAAGGTCAATCTACCACGATCATCATCAACTGGTGGTATATGGTGTGATCGAGCGTGGAACTATTAAGTGGCTGCCAACTTCGTCATTATGTTTTTTGTGAATATGGTGACGAACACGAGACGCGCAAGGGCGGAACATGGCACACGTACAACGGTTTGTCGGGGACCGACCGCTGGCGCCCCGACTACATCCTAACGCGGCAGGCACCCCGCGGCCGAGTGTCTAACATTGTTGTCATCCCCTAACCGGCACCCCCAGCCAAGGCGGACTCAGACCACAACATGGTGATAGCCACCGTCAACCTCGGTGGCAGGCTTGCCCACAACCGAGCAGTTCGGACCAAACCGAAATAGAAGCAGTTCAACCGACGGGGATTGCAGGCCGAAGCAGCGCGAAGGGCAGTGACGGAGCGGTTCCTCCTCAACCTCGACCAACGGCAGGGCGAACGAGCGACCACCATCCAGGAGAAGGCGACCGAGTTCACCAATGCTCTCCTCGAAGCGGCGAGGGCGATGCTACCCGAGGAACCGCGGAGAAGACGCACACAGGAACGTTGTGAGACCCCAGAGACAAGAGCCGCGTTGAAGGAGGCCCTTACCAAGAGGCGGGAAGCGCACCGAGCGATGAAGGGCGATTCGAACACAGCAACATGGAGGGCCTTCAAAGCAGCGTGTAAGAGAGTGACTACAGCAGTGGATATGGGCGTCTATGCCCACCTGGACAGATATGTGACGAGAACTCGAAGCGATCTACAAGGACCGCGATATGAGAGGACTCTACCAACACCTCAAGAGATCGATGGTGCTCAGTGGGAGGCAAGCGGGAGGACAGCAGTCCGTTGCGGACGAGAATGGCGTGCTGCTCCGCAGTAAGAACGACATCCTACAGCGATCGGCGAGATTCTTCGGCACCCTCCTCAGCACCAAATCCCCCACCTTGAACCCAGCCATCATCGAACAAGTGACGCAGCGACCGCCGACACGTGCCACTCGACAGTTGGAAGCGGCGCCAGACCTCGAGGAGTTGGAACGGGCAACGAACGCCCTGCAGAACTGGAAGGCACCCGACCATGACTCCCTGCCTGTCGAGTTGCTCAAGATCGATGACGATGAACGTATCTCACTGGGGCGCCTCCATGCCATCCTCAACAACGTGTGGAGAGGAGGAGAGATCCCGCAAGAGTGCAAGGACACAACGATCAAAGTGCTGTGCAAGAAGGTAACCGGTCCAACTGTAACAACTACAGGGGGATCTCGCTCCTATCTCACGTAGGCAAGGTCCCCATCAAGATCATCACCAACCGCCTAAGCTCCTTCTGAAGCCCCAACAACATCCTCCCGGAGGAACAGTGCGGGTTCCGACCTGGACGATCCACCATTGACATGCTGTTCGTCGTGCGCCGACTCCAGGAGCTGGGGCGGAGAAAGGGAATACTGCTCTACATATTCCTCGTCGACCTGAAGAAGACGTATGACTCGGTGGACCGAGAGCTGTTATGGAAAGTGCTGGCCAGGGCCGGGATTCCCGAGAAGATTGATCGCCGTCATTCGCTAATTCCACGACGGAATGGGAGCCCGGGTGCGCATGGACGACGGAAAGCTTTCGGACTGGTTTTGGGTCACACAAGACGTACGAGATGGGTCTGTGCTGTCCCCGCTGCTGTTCAACATCTTCTTCGCCGCGGTCCTCGAGGTCGTTGTCATTCGATTCAGCGAGGATGCCGTTATTCTGCAGATCCTCGTGTACCTGGAGGAAACGGGAGCGGGGGCGAGGACATCGCTTGACCGAGTGCGGAGGGAGGCATGGGGGATGCTGTATGCCGATGACGCCGGCGCCGTATCGAGGTCTGTGGACTGGCTGGCGAGAATGATGGCCGTCATCGTGGAGGTGTTCGGAGAGTTCAGGCTGACGGTATCGGAGAAGAAGACGCAGACGCTCCTGATGCGCGTCAGACAGCCAACACCACCGCTCCCCCCGCCACCACCGCTGATCATCTAGGCAGCAGGGCAGAGGTACGCCCAGACGGCTGAATTCCGGTACCTAGAACATGGCGACCTCACTCGGGAGATCAATTACTGGAGCAGCGTGCGCATGCGTCAGGAGATATGGCCGGGAGCTCTTCCACAGGCCGAGAGCACCGTTCCGACTCAAGACTCGCCTGCTCCGGGCCGACCCGATGGAGGCACTGTTGTGCGGCTGCATGACATGGGCCCCACGTCGCGAACACTACCGGGTGTTGCGGCCGATACATCACCGGCTGCTCCTGCGTGTCATCGGCTGCCAACGCAAGAAGGGCACCTACCAGCAGCTTTCCTACGCCTGAAGAGGGTAGGGTGCCAGATTGTGGAAGCCACTGTCCGGCACGGCGCCTGCTGTTCGCGGGAGAATCGGCAAGGAAGCCAGACGGGCGACTCCCGAAAAGATTGATGCTTGGCGAGCTGGTGGGGGGGGAGGGGGAAACCGGAGTAAAATGGCGTATGTGCCTGAAGGACGACCTCAAGATGTTCGAGGTAGAGCAAGGATCCACGGACACCGAGCCATGTTTCTTCGGAGTCCCGCAAACAACTTGCATGGAAGCAGCGAAGATGGAGCGGGGTGTACCTTGTCATACGGGGGTACTGCAGGGAGCTAAGAGGTTCATGACCGCCTGGCACAAGGATGATGAAGAGCAGGCTAGCCGACAACGAGCGCTCAAACGAAACAACAAGTCCGGCAACAGCACAGACACGGCAACACCCAATGGGGCAGGAGGGGCGCAGCAGACGGACGAGACGGCGAGGGAAGACAGAAAACGAGAAGAGGTGACCGAGTGGCGCGAAATGTTGTGCCGGGTTGAACCCCTTGATTGATGGACTAAGCCCCCCCCCCGTCACTGCATATTTGCGGTAACCATAAATGGTGGTCGAGTAGATAATATGTTTTGTGGGGTCGAGAATCCTCACTCCGCGCAAAGGGGATGATCGCACCACGTTGTGTTAAAATGGTCAAGCATCCTCGAGGCAGTTACACAGTGCTTATAACTGTCTCTGGAAGTGGAAGCACCAGAATAAATCAAGTCATACGCAGCTGTCATCCGCAAGGAAGGAAGTAAGCACAAGATTCTTAACACCCTTAACAGGATGCAGGACACCCTTCATGTGACTCGCCGAATACCTCACGGCGCTTCGCGCTTGGTGATGTGAGAGCCTGGTCCGGTGAGAACCCGGCGTGCTCCGTCCCGGCTTTGTAGGGATGCTAGGTCAATGGTCTAACGACTACGGCATGCACGACTGACTATGAGTACCCCCCCGCCCCCCGACACTGCACCATTGCACCGACCCCCCACGAGCGATGAAGTGTCTTTGCTGTCTCGGGTGGCCCGTTTTGTTTTATCTTGGGTTGTTTTGTTTTGTTTGTCTGTCGGTATGTAATGTATGGTAGAGGTCAATGGCGTATGCCTATGTATGTATGTATGTTTTTCTCAGGGTCTTTCTCTTTTTTACTTTTTCCTCTTCTTTCTCGTTCTTTCTTTTTTTCCAGTCTATGAATACCTTTCGCATACATACATAGCGTGTAGAGACAAGCGGAGGGCCCTACACTTCTTGTGTCGTCGATTTCTATTATTGACGACTTGCGGACCCTCGGATCCATTTTGATTACCTTCTTTGGGTAAGTTAGCCTGTGACCAGGGGGGGGGGAATCGACCGCGTCAAATGTTTGACTACTACATAGTACGGACAGAGGAACGTAGAGAGGGAAGGTAGAGAGGAACGGAAAAACGACAAACAAAAACAATGAATGGTGGGTAGGAACAGAGCGTCGGTTCGGTAGATCGGTAGATGGGGAGTCCGGTACTCCCCCCGCATATCCACCTTGTCCCTCCCGCGATACAAAAGTACCATACGTACCTGGTAGACAAATAATACATACGTCTCCGGAGTATAGATATAGTATCGCACCGACATTCAAACAACGGATCCAAATAAATGAGAAATCTTACCTCGGATCCTCGGGTCCAAGAACTTTCGCCTGGGCCAGGTGCGAGGTGAACGAATTACAGAATCTGCGGGAATATTTGTATGCGCCTCATGCACATGATGACTGGATCTCATCGGACCCGTACATCGCCTCTCGACGAAAAATGTACACAGGAGCACGGCGGACGACGTAGCACTACAGAGTCGAAATCTTGTTCCTGATGATTTCAAAGGCAATACATAGACACGGGGGACAAAAAGAGAGACTCAGGGACGAGGAAGGAGCGAATGGAAGAAATTGACACCAAAGAGAAAAGTACCGACGCGTGCGTGAAGAGTGATTGGTTGGGTGGCGGCCCAACGCCTACAAAAAATCATGTTCCGAAAACAAACAACCGTTAGCGCCGAGCAAGCTGCCGCCGTGCGCACGCAACCTCCCTTCCTCACCACACCAGACACACACACAACACACACCACTCACACACACACATCTGCTCTACTCCGGCAACTGAATATCAAGAGGGTATTGTGTAGCACAAGGTGAGCCCTTTCCGGGAGCCCGTCCGACGGATCTGACATCTGTCTCGGCTGTGAGTGTGTTGATTCAAAACTTTACTGGACGCGTGTTCGTGTTTCGTGTGTGTCGCACCTCTTGGAATTGCGAGGTGTTCTCCATCCAGCAGTACGTTAGCTCTGCCGCTCAATTAATCGTTCATCCTCCCGATGGAAACTCTCGACCACAACGTGTATACAGCAGTCTTTAACGATGGGCAGCGGCGCGACGATCTGTCTGGTGACACGCGCCGGCACGTATACTACACGACCGACCAACTTTTTGTGTTGATGACCGCAAGTATTTTTTGCATTTCCAACTGCTGTGAGCTTGAAACTCCGAGCCCCTCAGCAAGCGTAGAGGTCTGCCCACCCGTCGAGGTGGTGAACTTCGATGATAGTGAAACATGTGTGTGAGCTCCTCTGCACTCTCTTGATTAATTGTTGTTCGCGTGTCTTTGGTGCTACAGCAGCAGTCGAAAGAGAGAGGAGAGGGCCTGAAAAGAAGAGAACTAAAAAATGAGCTTCCGCAACGACTTTGTCCCAACGT